AACTGTCGGGGGGGTGGGGATTGGCAGTTGAGGGAAACTGCTAGGGGAGGGAGGGGAATACCTCATCGACAAGGGTATCTGCATGATCAATGTTTGTATACCTAACCCTAAATTGTACCCCACATCTTTATAATAAAAAAAATTATTTAAAAAAAGAATGATGAACTAGAATATCTGGTGGAAGGAATATCTAAGCAATGAAGCATTCAGGCTGCTGTATGGTTACGTTTAACTGCCTACAGTGAGACTCAAAAACAAAGAAATGACTTACAGACAGAATTCTTAATGAAAAGGGAAGAAGAGCAGACACATTTAGAAAATCACAGTCTTGCCACATACAGAGTGAAAGAGCATATATGGGAGAGAATCCTAAGAGTGTGGGTGGCCAAGTAACCATTTGCTGAAGAGATGACCATAGAGAGTAAGCCAGGTGCTTTTCATCAAGACGATGGAAGACAGACTCCAAAGGCATCTCGGATATCTTCCGTGCTGCCCCTCCCATCACAGTCCCAGAACTCTAGGATGGCAGAATGGTTTCAGGGAATGGGCCCAGAGAGTCCTCTGTGGGCTCACTGCCTGGGGCCACTTCAGAACTCTGCTCCCCAAATTCCAGCGCAGCACTCCTCAGTCACATCAGCCATGGCTCAAGCAGCTCGACCCACCTGGTGCAGCTCGACCCACCACTCTGAAAGGTATAAGCAGTAAGCCTTGGCAGCACCCATGTGGTGTTAAGTGTGCAGAATGCAAGAGCTGTGGGGGCATAGCTACCTCCACCTAAATTTCAAAGGATGCTACAGACCACCTGAAAGCCCAGGCAGAAACTTGTCACAGGTAACAAGTCACCACAGAGAGTCCCCACAAGGGCAAAGCCTAGTGGAACTGTGGGGGCAGGATGTCCATTGATACCCCAGAACAGTAGAGCTAACAGCATGCAATGCCAGCCTTCCAAAAGAGTTGAAGTGTGGGCTGAGCCTAGCAAAGCCATGGGGATGCGGATGCCCTAGGCTGTGGGAACATAACCTCCACCTCAGTGTGTTTGGGAGGTGGCACATGAAATGAAAGATTATTCTGGAGTCTTAAGATTTAATGTTCCCCTATTGTGTCTCAAACTTACTTGGGATCAGTTACCCCTTTTTGTCTTTAGAAATGGGAATGTTTATTGCTAGCTTGTCCCAGCATTGTATTTTGAAAGTAGATAACTTATTTTGATTTCACAGGCTCACAGCTGAAGGAATTTGTCTACGGATGAATCATGCTTTGAATCTCACCCATATCTCATATAGATGAGAATATGGACTTTGAACTTTTGAGTTGGTGCTGGATTGAGTTAAGGCTTTGAGGGCTCTTGGCATGAACATTTAGATTTGGGGGGCCAGGGGTGCAATGCTATTGTTTGAATGTCCCCACCAAAACTCATGTTGAAATACAATTGCCATTGTAACAGTGTTGAGAGATGGAGACTTTGGGGCCTGGTTAATGCCATTATTACTAGAGTGGGTTCATTATCATGAGACTGGGTTTGTTATAAAAGGGTGTATGGCCCAATTTTCTCTCTCTGGCTTGTGCATTTGTTTTTGCCTTCCATCCTTCTGCCATGGGATGGCCCTTACCAGATGACAGCACCGTGCTTTTGGACGTCCCAGCCTCCAGAACTCTGCACTGAATAAACTTCTATTCTTTATAAATTACCCGGTCTGCAGTATTCTGTTACAGCAGCAGAAAACAAAGATAGTGACCATGGAGACAGAGATTAGACTGATGCAGCCCAAAGCCAAGGAATACTGGTAGTCACCAGAAACTGGAAAAGGCAAGAAATAGATTATTTCTTAGAGTCTCTGGAGGAGCACAATCCTGCTGACACCTTGATTTCATCCCAATGAAACTGATTTCAGATTTCCGGTCTCCAGAACTGTGAAAGAATAAATTTATGTTGCTTATGCTATGTTTGTGGTAATTTATTGCAGCATCCAGAGGGAATTTGGGATGATTATAAAAAGTTATGTAAATTATGTTAAAGATCCTTTAGATGTATTCATTCATCCAACCAACCAACAAATAGTTGAGACAATATAGAAGAGTAATTAAAAGCACAGACTTTGGACTCAGTTCATCTTGGAGGTGAATTTCAGCTCTGTCACCAGCTGACTGTGTGACCTTGGGCAGGTTGCTTAATTCTCTGGGCTTTAGTCTCAACCTCTGCACAATGGGAATAATAGTACTTAACTCAAGGGAAGGTTATAAAAATTAAATGAGAAGATGCACATAAAAGGCTTTGTGCTGGATGGAGGGGCCATTGCCCTCTCCTTACCCTAAGAGAGATCTTTATCATTCTAGGAGGATCTTAGAGGAACAGAGCTGTAGACGGAATGCCTGAGGGACAATAGGGACCCATTGGAGGTGGTGGGGATGAGTAGGGCACATTTCCTAGAAAAATTGACTTATGAGCTCCCTGAAGGACGGAGTAAGTCCTAATTACATACTCTTTTAATATTATTGCTATGAATATTATTAGTATCAAGGAGCAAAACATGCTTCTGGTACTTGAGTCTTCTAGAAAAAGCACATATAGATGTCTTTTTTATGGTTTAAATTTCTTAAGTTACTATGGAGTTTCTAGAAAAGACCCTATATTTGAAGAAGTTAGAGACTGATGAGAAAACTGTGCAATGACGTCTTGCCACGTGTATACTATTCATTAAAACTAAACAAATGCACAGCAGTGGGTGGGAAAAATGGAAAGAATATCTGAGCATACGTGCTGGCAGGCCCTTAAACAGGCCTATGGAACTGGGAGGAACCAATCCCAGTAGAGGGCAACTTGTTTCAGGTGGGGAAATCTGAGTTTCCGCTCCCTGTGAGAAGTTCCTGTCCCTGGAGCCTGGACCGATAGACCCCACATCTGCTTTACTTGCCCCGCCCACTTTCCTGATCTCTGATTGGCCAGATCAAGTTCACTAACTGCCCTGATTGGTCCATCGTCCTTGAGCAGTTGAACTGCAGAATGACATCTGCTCCTGGAGCTGCGCTTCGTGCTTCGCCGCTCTTTGTGCTTCGCCGCGCTTCGCCTCTGTTTCTCAACACTTCGCCACCACTTCACCACTAAGGTAGGTTCTGTCCGAGGAACACTCTGGATGGGTTAAGGAGGGAAGATAGAAAAGCTGGGAGCTTCTGTAGAGCACTCAAGTGCTTGGGCCTTTAATATGCCCCCCAATGTTCTCAAGATACTTAGGGCTGAGCGGCGACTCAAGCCATCCAGGGCATATCCTGTCGAGTGGAGAGAAAATAAAACTGCCTTTGGTCTGGGAGGCTCCCTAACTGCTATACCTGAGAAAGCCAAACTCCCCTTGCCCAAGAAGCCCCCGAGTCAGCCAGATGCACCTAGATTTCCTCAACCAGAGATAATGCCAAGTAGTCTCCGCCTAAGAGACTACTTTATTGCTTCCTCTGGGATGAAGCAGTGATCTTCTCTGCCCCAGAGACCCTTAAATGCCCTCCCCCAAAGGGACCTCCAACACCACCAGTTGGAAAGCACCAGAGTACTGCATTTTGAAATGGCCCATATTTTCTCAGAGTGATGGCTGCTTCTATAGTCTCGAAGATTCTAGCTCTCTTCACAAGTAATTTACAAGTAACCCAGTAATAGCCTCTGATTCCACTCATATTAGTGATGCCCATTTCTCTTCAACCGGCTGGGCTCTGTGGCCTGTAATCCCATCACAGTAAGACTCTAACTCAAAAAGAAAAGAAAAGAAAAAAACATTTATCTTCAACCAAACCCCACATCCCTCTGCCTGACAACCCAGATCCATCAACCAGAGAGACCATGTAATCTCCAGGACTCACCTATCGCCCTTTATCTCAGAATATGCCCATTCTATGAAATTACACACTCCACTGCTTCCCCAACAAGGGTCTTTTTTTTTTTTTTTTTGAGTTGAAGTCTCATTCTGACACCCAGACTGGAGTGCAGTGGCACGCTCCCAGCCACCGCAGCCTCGACCTGTTGGGCTCCAGCGATCCTTCCGCTCAGCCTTCCAAATAGCTGGAACTACAGGCGTGCGCTACCACGCCCAGCTAATTTTTTGATTTACTGTAGAAATGAAGTCTCGCCAAGTTGCCCAGGTGGGTCTCGAACCCGCGGGCTCAGGCAATCCACTCACCTCGGCCTCCCAAAGCACGAGATTATAGGCTGAGCCACCGAGCTCGGCCCAACAAGGGTCTTTATTTGTTTCCTTCAGGATAAACTGAGCTCCAGGGGAACTACTAATGACAGTGGCCAAGCCCCTCTCAAAGACTCAAGGCTACTTTGCGCATGCCCACAGAAAACCTGTCCTCCCTAATCAGTACTTCTCCCAGAGATCCCTGGCTCCCTGTTTTCTTTTCTCTTTTATTTTCTTTTTTAGAGACATGGTCTCACTCTGTTGCTCAGTCTGGAGTGCAGTAGCATGATCATATCTCATTGCAGCCTGCAGCCCCTGGGCTTAAGCGATTCTCCCACCTCAGCCTCTTGAGTATCTAAGTCTACAGGTGCGTGCCACCACGACTGGATAATTTTTAAATTATTTTTTTTGTAGAGATGGAGTCTCGCTATGTCACCCAACTGGTCTTGAACTCCTGGGTTCATGGGATCCCCTGCCTCAGCCTCTCAAGTAGCTGGGATTCAGGCATGCGCTATCACACCTGGCTACTTTTTTTTTAAGAGATAGGGTCTCGCTATACTGCCCAAATTGGTCTCCTGGCCTCAAGTAATCCCCCTGCCTCAACCTCCCAAAGCGTTGAGATTATAGGTGTGAGCCACTACACCCAGGCTGTTTTCATCTGACTTCTCCGCATGTCCTTACTCAGGGACAGATAAGCCCAGGATGGATAAATGTAGCACCTAATTCAAGGTGACTGTGTAGTGGCCGTCCCTCAATTATTTCTCTCTTCACAGGACCTTTGGTCTTGTGACTGGAAAGACTCAGGCTGTCTCTCTTGGAGATCAGACTGCTCCCAGTGCCATGAACATAGACAGCTCCTTTGCAAAGAGCCCCAGAGAAGTTATCCAGAATTCAAAGAATTGCAAGGTGAGATTATCTGGAGGGAGCAGAATAGTAGTAGCCCAGGGGCAGTGAAGGGTGACCAGATTTCTGAGGAGGGAAGGACAGCGGTACTGGGGACAAGGAGCAGGGTCTCAGAGTCTCCAGATCTCAGAGATGTAGAGCCTTGGGAGCTTTCGCCACCCTCACTCTGTTGTCACCTACCATCCCTGGAGACAACAGGGCTGTGACCTCGCACTACATCTGGTGACTCTCCGTTCATTCTGGAAGGTGGGAGGAGAACAAGCCAGCAGCATTAAGCACCTACTGCGTGCCAGGGAGAGGCTAGGGAATGTCACCCATGTTCTCTCTCTGGCATCACCTCTGGAGGAATTATTATTCCTAGTTCCCAGATCCCAGAGGAAGTGGCCCCAGCTGAATGGCAGACATGTCTAGCTGAGTCACTGCCAGAATTTATTTTTCTTTCTTTTCTAGGCCTTCAAGGATATTTCCAAATACTTCTCCAGAAAAGAGTGGGGAAAACTGAGATACTCAGAGAAAATCACCTATGTATATATGAAGAGAAACTACAAGACCATGACTAATCTAGGTAATAGGCAGTTCTGGATACGGACAAGCCTTGGGACCACTTGAGTATCCCTCAGTCCCTTTCCATGCTTTGATTACTTCTTAGGCTGCAGCAAGTCCCCCATACTTTCCTTTTGTGTGGGGAAAATTCCCAAAGCAGCTTCTGGGTGTTCTTTTCTTCTGTATCCTATGCAGGCCTGAGGACAGGGGCTGGCCACAGAGGAGCTCAGACCTGATTCCCGCACATTTCTCTCCCATTAGCCTCTATTCTGATGAGCCCTGCTGTCTGTGAGGCATTCCAACACCCCAACCTTCATTCCTCCTCTCAGCTTGTCTCTTAAGGAACAAACATTTGTTTCTTTCTAGGTCTCAGGGCCACCCTCCCAGCTTTCATGCGTTCTGATAGACAGGCCACAGAATCCCAGCGGAAGGATTCTGATGAAGATCGGAACCACGGGAATCAGGGTGAGTGGACGGGAAGGGGCTGGAAAGGGTCCCCTCAAACCCAAGTGGTCTGCAGTCCAGCTGCCTGGGAAAGAGTCTCAGGCATTTGTTCCCTCACACACATTAGGGCTGAGTGAAAAAAAAATATTGGATGCAAAAGGTTAACTATGGAGACCATTCATATAAAACTCTAAAACATGCAAAATAAGACTATATAGTTTATGGATAATAAGTAAATGATAAATGTATAAAAATCTGAATGGGAATAAAAACCATCAAATTCAGACGAGTAGCTATAAGTGGAGAAGGAGGGAGGACAGGTATTGGAGAGGTCTGCACAGACAGCTTCAGCTGTGACTTGTTTACAGTGTTTCTAATGTTCTGAATAAAGAAATCAGATCCCTAAAGTGGTTGTAGGATAATCTTGACATCTGGCTGGACTCGATATTCCATATAATTTTCTGTATGTTTGAAATTTTTTCTTTTTTTAATGGATATGCTGTTCTTACATAACAATGATAATGAATCAAAGGACAATTAAATGTTTGATTAAAGTGTCAGTCCACCAAAAAAATCCCAGAGTCCGTTTCATAACAGCATGTAGGTATCAGATAAATATCTTGAGAAAGTGATTAACACATTATGCAATGAAGATAGCTATTCCCCTGTATTTTATCAAAATCAAATAGTTTTCTCCCAGTCAAATGTGATGTGTGTTGAGCTTGGAAGAGGTTTGAGAAAGTGATTCCCCCTACACACACACACACACACACACACACACACACACTCACACACTGAGCTTTCCCACTTGTCTGTGAGTAGAGGCAACATAAGAGTCTCAGGCACTTGCTCCCTCACACACATTAGGGCTGAATGTATATTTGAGAAATATGTGTAAGCCTTATAAAGAGGGTAGGATGTGTTTACTTGCTCTTCTGCTCTAGCAGCACAGTTGTAAGAAGACAGGGTCAAAAAAAGGCCAGCTGTCTCCAATAGACCTGTGACTCCCCAACTAAACAGGCCAGATTCTGCAAGCTCCTACAATCACTGTAACAGGCCTGATAATCCAGTGCTTGAGTATCTGCAAAGTTTTTGACATTAAAGGAGTATCTTTATACTGGAAACATTTTAGAACTACTAGACTAAGTCATCCATGGTTCATCAGCCATTTAACAGCTTCATTGAGGTATAATCAACATGCCATAAGATTCACCCACTTTAAGTGAACAGTGATTTTTAGTTGACACACATCTTTAAGTGGATACAATTTAAATTCCCAACCAATCAATTTAATTATTTGGGAAGAAAGGAAGAGATATGTAATGGAATAGGGTGAGACTGTGATGGGATGTAGTCTCAATTTTATAAGCCATCAGAAGGGAAATTCTGAATTGATGCCACAAATAAATGTATAAACCATTGCTAAGGATAATTCAGGAGATAATCTCAAATAACTCCTCAACAATTAGTGAACTCATAACCCTCTGCTTCAGAATTTCCTGATACTACAAGAATCTCTCTAGAGTTGGGAAATAAATTCTGACTTATTACCCTCTTCTAGGTGAACCTCCTCAGAAGGCTTCCAGGGTACAGCAGAGAAAACGCCTAAAAGTGAGTATGTCCCAAATCTGAAGGACCAGAGAAACCTTTGTCCCTTCACGGATGTGAAGATTGGCAAGAGGGGGAGAATATTGAAGATATCCTAGCTCTCACTGCCTTCCTTTCCTCGTGTCTTTATCACAACGCCTGCTGTAGCATCAATGACTTGATAATGCCTAACAGCAATTATGATAGCTAATACTTCTTTGGTTTTCATAGTGATGCCAGATATTATTTTAAGCAATTCACATGGATTAATTTATCTACTCCTTGAGAAAGCCTCTGTGATGTTGTTTCTGTTATTATCTCCAAATAATAATGAGTCACAGACTTGAGCTGTCATCTATAGAAAAGCCATGTGACTTTGGGCAACGAAATTCTTTAAATTCCAGATTCCTAGTCTATAAAATGGAAATAAAGAATCATAGTTCATGTTATAGTTCATAGTTATCAGTAAAATAATAATACTAATAAGGGTATCATGGTACAGAGATGTTAAATAATTTGCCTGAGGCTCAGTGGCAACAGGATTCTAATCCAGAGCCCAAAACCATTTCAGACCGCTTTCATGTTTTCATTTGTTTATGAAATTAAAGTGTTGTCCGCTAGGACTTTACCCTATAGAACCTGCTGATGCTTCCATTAGACACCTACTCTCACAACTGGAAGGACCAACTGGCCTCTCTGTCGCAGACTTGGGAATTTCTTTGACTGTCGGCCCCTCCCTACTGTGAGCTCCTTGAGAGCCTTGTCTGCACCTGGGGTACCTCTGAAGCCCCAGTCCCAGCCCAGGGGACCCCTCAGAGGCACCCGAGTATTTATTGAATGAGTGATTCCACAACCACAGATTCAACTGGAGTTTAGAGGGTAAAGAGATCTGGGAGTTAAGTTGCCAGCGTGAAGATCACTGAGGATGAAATTCCAAGAAGGATCATGAAAGAAAGTGTTCATTTTTATTATCTACACATATAAGCAGTGTTTACAGTCTCATAAAGTACTTTCCCTTAACCTGTTTTACATGTGGTGTTCACTATTTCATAAGTGAGGGAACTGAATGAAAGGTAGCTTAAGATGCTGGTCAGTGACACACACTGATGCGAGCAGAATTGGTACAGGTACCACCTCACCTAATGCCAGCATGCTTGCCAGGGTAGGGTGGTATGCCACAGCTGACACCGCTTTCTGTACTGCCTAGATTAATTTCTGTGAACCATTTCTTTTCTCTCCCTTCCCTATATTTATCTCACCCACACCATCTTTTCCAGCAGTGTTTTGTCCCCACTATATGTTTTTACATTTGCTCTTCCAGCAGCTGTCTTCACGCTTATATGTGGTCACCTGTGTTTTATAGAGACCTTTCCTTTTGCAGGTCTTGTTAATTCTTAGAATGCTATTCTTCCCAAATTACCTGTATACTACGCTCAATTACACGGAGAGTTTTGCTATTTGCAATAATGTCAGTCTGGAAAGAACGTGAAGACGGGCATTCTAATTCTGGAAACATAATTCATTTAGGCCATTCCTGTTCCTTCTAACCTCCCAGGTTCCTCATAATTTAGGTATGGATAGTGTAATGATCTCCCAGAGCTGTTGAGAATACTGATTAAGGTAATGCATGTGAAGACTCTTTGTAAGCTCTAAAGCACTATAGCAATGCCATTGATACTCTTTATATGTGACCTTCACATTACAAAGATGATGCCCAAGAAGCCAGCAAGAGAAGGAAATGGTTCGAAGGGAGTGCCAGGAACACCTGGCTCAGAACAGACTCAGAGACAGCTGTGTACCCCAGGAAAAGCAAGTACCTTTGGGCAGCAGAATGAGAAGACATCAGGTAAGAGGAAACAATTAAGGAACAACCCCTCTGGCTTCTCTGGCTCTGTTCAAGTGTGTGGTCTAGGTGTGTCACATGGACCCTGGACAGACCTGGGTCCAGACTGGGCTAAGAAGCTTGCCTAGCACTAGCTGAGATGTTAGAACATGACATCCAGAGTCACAGACTTGAGCTGTCATCCATATAAAAGCCTTGTGACTTTGGGCTAGGTGCAGTGGCTCACACCTGTAATCCTAGCACTTTGGGAGGCCAAGGCAGGAGGATTGCTTGAGCCCAGAAGTTTGAGACCAGCCTAGGCAGCATAGCAAGACCTCATCTCTGCAAATATAAAAAAAAATTGGCTGGGCATGTTGACACATGCCGTAGCTACTTGGGAGTTGAGACAGAAGGATTGCCTGGGCCCAGGTGGTTGGAGGCTGCAGTGAACTGTGATCATGCCACTGCCCTCCAGTGTGGTCAATAGAGACCCTGACTCCAAAAAAAAAAAAAAAACACCTCAAAAGCCATATGACTTCGGGCAACTCTTCTAAATTCTCTGAGCTCCAGAGTCTTAGTGTATAAAATGGAAATAAAGAATCATAGGTCAACCAGGCTCAGTGGTTCACACCTGTAATCCCAGCACTTTGGGAGGCTGAGGCAAGAGGATTGCTTGAGCCCAGGAATTCAGGGCCAACCTGGGCAACATAGTAAGACCTCGTCTCTATACAAAATTAAAAAACAAAATTAGCCAGGCATGGTGGCACACACCTGTAGTCTCAGCTACTTCAGAAGCTGAGGGGGAAGAATTGCCTGAGCCCAGGAGGTCAAAGCTGCAGTGAGCCATGATCATGCCACAGCACTCCAGCCTGGGTGACAGAGTAAGACCCCCACATCAAATAAATAAATAAATAAAAAGAACCATAGCTCATAAATTGTTTGGAAGCATTACATTAAATCTAGAAGGCCTGATGACATGAAAAGTGCTCAGGTAATTTCACCTGTGATCATTTGGGAACATATCTTACTCAGCTCAGTGCCTGATACCCAATACAGGTATACCTTGGAGATATTGCAGGTTCAGTTCCAGGCCCCCATAATAAAGCTAATGTTGCAATAAAGCAAGTCACACGAAGTTTTTGTTTCCAGTGTATATAAAAGTTATTTTTACACCATACTGTAGTCTGTCAAGTGTGCAATAGCATTATGTGTGAAAAAACATTATGCATACCTTAATTTTAAAATGTTTTATTGCTAAAAAATGCTAACAATGTCTGAGCCTTCAGCGAGTCATTGTCCTTTTGCCAGTGGAGAGTCCTACCTTGATATTGATGACTGCTGACTGATCAGGTTGTTGGGGTTTGGGTGACTGTGGCAATTCCTTTTCTTTTTCTTTTTTTTTTGAGTTGGAGTCTCACTCTGTCACCCAGACTAGAATGCAGTGGTTGCTCCCGGCCACCGCAGCCTCGACCTGCTGGGCTCCAGCGATCCTTCCACCCAGCCTTCCAAGTAGCTGGAACTACAGACCTGCGCTACCATGCCCGGCTCATTTTTGATTTATTGTAGAGATGAGGTCTCGCCAAGTTGCCCAGGCGGGTCTCGAACTCGCGGGCTCTGGCAATCCACTCACCTCAGCCTCCCAAGACGCGGGATTATAGGCCGAGCCACCGAGCCCGGCTGCAATTTCTTAAAATAAGACAACAATGAAGTTCGTCACTTGACTCTTGCTTTCATGAGAGAGTTCTCTGGAGTACTTACCCACAGAACTTCTTTCAAAATTGGAGTGAGTCCTCTTCAACCCTGCCACTGCTTTATTAGCTAAATTTGTATTTGAAACCCTCAATGTAGAGTCCATCTCAAGAAATTTCTATGGAAGTAATAGACACTGGGGACACTGAAAGGTGGGAGACAGGGAAGAGGGACTAGGGTTCAGATGTTACCTATTGGGTACAATGTTCACTATCTGGGGAATGGGGTCACCTGAAGTTCAGCCCCCACCAGTACTCAATATGCCCATGAAGCAAGCATACACTTGTACCCTTGAATCTAAAATTAAAAATAACAAGAAAAAGAAAACCACTTTCTTCACTCATTCATAAGAAGCAACTCCTCATCTGTTGAAGTATTAGCATGAGATGCAGCAATTCGTTCACCTCTTCAGGCTTCACTTCTAATTTTGTTCTTTTGCTGTTTCCATAACATCTGAACCTTCCTCCACAGAAGTCTTAAGCCCTTCAAAGTCATCCATGAGGGTTGGAATCAACTTCTTTCAGACACCCGTTAATGTTGATATCTTGGCCTTTTATGAATCACAAGTGTTTTTAATGGCATCTAGAATGGTGAATCCTTTCCAGAAGATTTTCCGTTTACTTTGCGCAGATCTATCAGAGGAATCACTATCAATGACAGCTATAGCCTTACAAGATGTGTTTCTTTTTTTGTTTGTTTTTTTTTTTTTTGAGTTAAAGTCTCACTCTGTTGCCCAGACTGGAGTGCAGTGGTCGCTCCCAGCCACCGCAGCCTCGACCTGCTGGGCTCCGGCGATCCTTCCGCCTCAGCCTTCCGAGTAGCTGGAATTAACAGGCATGCGCTACCACGCTCGGCTGATTTTTTGATTTATTGTAGAGATGAGGTCTCGCTGCCCAGGCGGGTCTCGAACCCGCGGGCTCAGGCAATCCACTCACCTCAGCCTCCCAAAGGCGCGGGATTATTGGCTGAGCCACCGAGCCCAGCTAGATGTATTTCTTAAATAATACAACTTGAAAGTCAAAATTACTCTTTGATCCATAGACTTCAGAATGGATGTTGTGTTAGCAGGCATGAAAACAATATTAATCTCCTTGTACATCTCCATCGGAGCTCTTGGATGATCAAACACATTGTCAATGATATATCTTTTAAATTTGGTTTTATTTTATTTGATATTTTAAAAGGAATCTTTGTTTCTGAGCAGTAGGTCTCGACAGTGAGCTTAACATGTTTAGTAAACCATGCTATAAACAGATGTGCAAATCCAGGATTTGTCATTCCATTTATAGAGCACAGGCAGAGTAGATTTAGCATAATATTTAAGGGTCCTAGGATTTTCAGAACAATAAATGAGCACTGGCTTCAACTTAAAGTTGCCAACTGCATTACCCCTAACAAGAGAGTCAGTTTGTCCTTTGAAGCTTTGAAGTGAGGCATTAACTTTTCTCTAGCTATGAAAGTTCTAGATGGCATCTTCTTTTAATATATGTCTGTTTCATCTACATTGAAAATCTGTTTAGAGTAGCCACCTTCATCAGTGATCTTAGCTAGATCTTCTGGATGACTCCTGCAGCTTGTCTATCAGCACTTACTGCTTCACTTTGCACTTTGATGTCATAGAGATGGCTTCTTTCCTTAAACCTCATGAACCAACCTCTCCTAGCCTCAAACTTCTGCAGCTTCCATCACCTCCTTCAGGTTTCATAGAATTCACAAGAGTTAGAGCCATACTCTGCATTAGGTTTTGGCTTAGGGGAACATTATGGCTGGCTTGATTTTCTGTCCAGACCCCTCAGACTTTCTCCAAATCAGCAATACGGCTGCTTTATTTTCTTATGATTTGTGTGTTCTCTGGGGTAGCACTTTTAATTTCCTTCAAGAACTCTTCCTTTGCATTCACAACTTGGCTTTTTGGCACAAGAGGCCTAGATTTCAGCCTATCTTAGCTTTTGACAGACCTTCTTCACTAAGCTTAACCATTTCTAGCTTTTGATTTAAAGTGAGAGATATGTGACTCTTTCTTTCACTTGAACACTTAGAGACCATAGTAGCATTATTAATTAGCCTGATTTTAATATTGCTGTATCTCAGGGAATAGGAACAGCCCATCAGTGGAGCAGTCAGAACACACACAATATTGATCAATTAAGTTTGCCATCTTCTATGGGCACAATTCCTGGCACTCCCAAAACAATACAGTAGTAACATAAAAGCTCACTGTTCACAGATCACCATAACAGATATAATCATAATGGAAAAGTTGAAAATATTGTGAGAATTTCCAAAATGTAACACAGAGGCACAAAGTGAGCACATGCTGTTAGAAAAACAGTGCCAACAGACTTGCTCGATGCAGGGTTGCCACAAACCTTCAATTTGTAAAAACCGCAGTATCTACAAAGCACAATAAAACAACGTGTGTCTGTATGCCCTTAACAAATACGTGCTGAAATTCTACTACTGGGTATATGACCTTAGGAACACAGATCATTCTACCAAAAAGACAACTGCACTCATATGTTTATTGCAGAACTATTCACAGTAGCAAAAACACAGAACCAATCTAGGTGCTCATCAATGGTGAACTGGATAAAGAAAATGTGGTACACATATACCACAGAATAAAAAATAGACACCGAGCCATAAAAAAGATTGAAATCATGTCTTTTGTGGCAATGTGGACACAGCTGGAGGCCATCGTTCTAAGTGAATTATCACAGAAACAAAACCGAATACTGTATGTTCTCACTTACAAGTAGGAGCTAGACACTGGGTACACATGGACATAAAGATGAGAACGCAAGCGGGGAGGATTGCTTGAGCCCAGGAGTTCAAGACCAGCCTGGGCAACAGAGTAAGACTCCATCTCTACAAAAAAATCAAAAAATTAGCCGGGCATGGTGGCTGAGGGGTAAGGATCGCCTGAGCCCAGGAGGTTGAGACCATGGTGAGCCGGGATCATGCTCCAGCCTAGGCAACAGAGTGAGGCCCTAACTCAAAAAAAAAAAAGATGGGTACAACAGACACCAGGGACTCCTAAAAGGGAGAAGCAAGGGCTAAAAAAGTGCCTATTAAGTACCACACTCACCATTTGTGTGATGGGCTCAACAGAAGCCCAAACTTCATCATCCCACAATATCCATGCAACAAACCTGCACATGCACCCCTCAAATCTAAAATTTACACACACACACACACACACACACACACACACTGAATGAAAGAAGGTATGAGTGAATGTTCTGGTAAGTGAAGAGGTTGGGAATGTAAACCTGACAATGGAAAGAGCCAGAAGCTAACACTTTTAGCAGCGTTTGGTCTGTATTGGTGTGGGTCTAACATCTCAGCCTCTCTGAGCCAGACACGTGAAAAACAGGATGTAGAAGGCCTGTTGGCACATGGGAGGGAGGAGGCATCTCCTTATCTGACTAAACAGGACCTAACCCACCAACCATCATTTCCCAACTCTTCTCCACCATAGAACCCAAGAAATGGGGGAAACATGTCTGGACCCACAGGTTGCGGGAAAGAAGGAATTTAGTGGTATATGAAGAGATCAGTGACCCTGAGGAAGATGACTGACTCTGTAAGTGACCCACCCTTCTGCCATCTTCCACACCCTTGCAGATGTGCTGTTCTGTTATGGTACTGGTATCCCATCTTGCCGCTTGTTTCCCACATCATTCTCTTCTCATAATTTCCTGGGGTGCAGCATTGAGGCTAAAATGATGTGATTCCCCAAGCTCTTCCTAATCCCTGCCCTGTATAGCCAGAGATCTTCCCTACCCAGGGTGCTGCGGGCTTCCAAAACCCAGATAAGCCCTGATGTGCAGGCCACACCTTCCTCTAGCCTAGGAATTCATAAACAGGTGAGGGAGTCGCTGTGGCAAGAGCAGAAAGTTTGCTTTGAGGAACTGTGGGAGGTGCAGACAGGTCCTGAGCATAGGGCAGAATCGGGGTGTGTAGGGTCTGCAGATCACGAGGAGTTGGGGGTTGAATTGCCAGTCATTGGGAACTCACTGCTACTTATTTTCCTTCTCTCTCCTTGCCTCAACCAGAGGGACTTGACAGCTGCCCATGATGAGAAGAACCTGGTGACTTTTCATGATCACGGGCATGGCTGTGAATTCCTGGTCATCTGGTGTATAGCAAATGAAAGAAAGAGTTCACAACAGTGAAAAGTTAAGCATTGTTCTTCTTAGTATGTGCCAAGCATTCTGCTAGATGTCAGCATTTCATTGATGAGCAGACATAGCTAATGCGTGTGTCTGTTTGTGTATCCATACACCCAGCCCAGAAAACAAATATTGTCAGGTATTGTCTGCATAGAACAGCACTACCCTGCCCTCTCCCTAGATGTGACACTAGAAGGCAGTTCTGGGTGTTTAATTTCAGACTTTTTCTCTGCACTTAAACACACACACACACACACACACACACACACACACACACACACGGTACCACTATGAGCATCTCCCACCTGCTTTTCCTTCTACTAATGTGTCCTGGTCAAGTCCCCCTCATTCTGTTTCCTGTTCGGCATGTGCTTCTTGCTGCAAACCTTCATCACTCATTAACCCTGTAACAGGCGGGGCTCGGTGGCTTAGCCTGTAATCCCGCGCCTTTGGGAGGCTGAAGTGAGTGGATTGCCTGAGCCCGCAGGTTCGAGACCCGCCTGGGCAGCGAGACCTTATCTCTACAATACATCAAAAAATCAGCCGGGCGTGGTAGCGCGCGCCTGTAGTTCCAGCTACTCGGAAGGCTGAGGCGGAAGGATTGCCGGAGTCCAGCAGGTCGAGGCTGCAGTGGCCGGGAGCGGCCACTGCACTCCAGTCTTGGCAACAGAGTGAGACTCCAACTCAAAAAAAAACCAAAAAAACCCTGTAACAGTCACTGACAGTTAATAAACATTTCTTAGTTGCTTGCTCCTCTCATTCTTGTGCACACAGCCTTGTGTGTGTGTGTGTGTTTATTTAGGATAGATTCTTAGAAGTGGAATTGCTCAATGGAGTCATTCATTCAGCAAGCAGCTGATGAATGCGTCCTACACGCCAAATGTTATTCTAGGTGCTGGAGAGACATCAGGGAACTCAGCAGACAAATATTCCTGACCACGTAAAGGTGGTACTCTAAGTGGAAAATGTTTCGTGTGTGTGTGTGTGTGTGTGTGTGTGTGTGTGTGTGTGTGTGTGTGTGTGTTATAGAGACAGGGTTGTGCTCTGTCACCCAGGCTGGAGTGCAGTGGTGATCACAGCTCATAGTAACTTCAAACGCCTGGGCTCAAGCAATCCTCCTGCCTCAGCCTCTCAAGTAGCTGAGACTACAGGCATACACCATCATGCCTGGCTAATTTTTAAGTTTTTTTTTTTAGAGACAGCATCTTGCTATGTTGCCCAAGCTAGTCTTGAACTCCTGGTCTCAAGCAATCCTCATGCCTTGGCCTCCCAAAGCACTGGGATTACACGTGTGAGCCACTACGCCCAGCTTCCAGTTTTTATTTTGACAGACACTGTACACCCCAGTCCTAGAGCACAGGATTCTTCAGCCCAGGGTTGGGCATCTTGGCCTTTGCTCTCTGAACGATCTTCCGGTTCAGGATCTGGGACAGACCATTTGGGAGTGAGTGGGAGGAGACAAAGATGAAACCGTCAACTGTGGAACATGGGAGAATCAGGAAGGAGTTTCCACTGTAGGCCATGTGGTGGACAGGAATAGAAGAATCCACTTAGTCTTGATGCAGGGGAACAACACATAGAAAAGTCCACTGGACAAAGGCATGAGGCAGCACCTCCAGGGTCTTGCAACCAAAGGCTTGGGGCTGCGGTGGAGATGAAGATTTGGGGATGGAACTGTCCTTTCCCAGATGTACTATTGCAGAGTGTAGAGACAGGACAGTCAGAGCCAGGAAAGGAATGAGAGGCGTCTGTCTTGGAACAAACCATGTTTATTCTGAGAGACATTAAGGCCACCAATGGACTTGAAACACCGGAGGCAGGATTGAAGCTCTTTTGACTGTTCACAGCCCATCACCTCGGCTTCTCAGCTCCTACTCAGCCTTGGAAGGTGGGCACTGTCATCATTATACCTATATCATAGATGAGAGATGGACTCCCAGACAGATGTTAGACATCTTGTCAGAGGCCCTGCAGCTGGCTGTGCAGGAGGATCAGGGTTTGGAACTCACTGACGTGAGAAACATTAAGGAGGACACGTGGAGTGGGGGAGAAAGGAGAACTGAATGAGCCCCGGGTTCTGTCTCAAATTGCAGGATAGAGATTGTGGGGTCATTTTTCCAAGACGAGGAGCCCCCAGGGAAGAGGTAGGGAGGGAGAGGCCTGGTGGTAGTGGGACAAGGGAGGGCAGAGATATGCAGAGTGGGAAGAAGAAGGGCAGGCAGAGAAGCAAGGTAGACCCAGGGCCAAGTGTGGGCTGACACAGTCACCAGAGGGAGAGGATGCCAGGAAGGAAGTTGTGAGGGATCAGGGAGAGAGGTTCCCCAGAACTGTGGGCAGTCCCTGCCTGGCACTGCAGGGAGAGGTGGGTGTCGCCCGGATCAGCATGGACAGGGCTCTACCTGTGGCTTGGAGAAAACATACTCTATTGTACCCCAGTATAGTTCTATATGACACAAATGTAATCTTCCAGGAGGGTCTCGGTATTTCTGGTGGGCCACTAGCATGTTTTCTTCTTTTCCTATATTGTTAAGAATTTATCCTTGGTTGGGTGTGGTTGCTCACATCTGTAGTCCCAGCACCTTGGGAGGCTGAGGTAGGAGGATCACTTGAGGCCAGGAGTTTGAGACCAGTCTGGGCAACAAAATGAACCCCCGTCTCTACAAAAATAAAAATAAAAATAATGAGCCAGGTGTGGTGGCATGCACCTGTAGTTCCAGCTACTCTGGGGGCTGAGAAAGGAGGATTACTTCAGCCTAAGAGTTTGAGGTTGCAGGGAGCAGAAGAGGGGCAGTTACTGATCATGCCACTGCACTCCAGCCTGGGCCACAGAGTGAGATTCTGTTTCTTAAAAAAAAAGGAATTTATCCTTGAAAATATTTTTCTCCCCAGTTCAATGGAATATTGAATGGGACCTTGCTCTAATCGTATTTTTAGATACTTTGTGAATTTTTGTCAGTATACAAATGTAAATTTTCTCCATTTAGTTTTTTAATGGTTATTGTTGTTATGTAGAAAACCTATCATTAATGTCTATAATATTTTGTAACCTAACTGGGTGCAAATTCCCCTGAATTTTGATACAGAATTCAGTTTGTTTTATTCTCCAAAAGAAAATTCACTTCACAAGACAATAGTTATAAAAGAATCTTTTGGCAATGAGGAGGAAGTGTCTCACTCTGTCACCCAGACTGGAGTGCAGTGGTGTGATCCCAGCTTACTGCAGCCTCGACCTCCTGGCCTCAAGTGATCCTCCTGTCTCAGCCTCCCAAGTAGTTGTGAATATAGGTGCATGGCACCATGCCCGGCTAAGTTGTTGGTTTGTTTATTTTTTTAATGTTTTTTAAGACAAGGTCTCACTATGTTGCCCTGGTCTTGAACTCCTAGGCTCAAGTGATCCTCCCACCTTGGCCTCCCAAAGTGCTGGGATTATAGGTATGAGCCACTGCACCCAGCTATGAAAGCATAATTTATGGAAAACTTCATAGAGAAGACTGATAGAGGGGAGGGAAGTATCTATTTTACAGTGTTGAGTAGTTCACTGCAAAAATCACCAGAACTGCCTTTTTCTCAAAAAAATATTACCCCTAAGTTATTCTACTACTGGTCCTTCTAGTCCTTCCCTCTATCTCAAATCCTCAAGTTTTCCATTTCCTTATTGGGACAATTTTACTCTGCCCAGACCTGGGTCCTCCACAACACTTAGCACTGTCTTCAGGTGCTCGAATGCCCATTGTTTTAGCCCAGGCTCCCAAGGAGACAGGCTTTGAGCCACACAGGCCATCTCTAGGCAGAGTATACTGAAAAACCATGTTTGGAACAGTGCCGGCGAAGGAGGAAGAAGAGGAAATTTATGTACCTGGCTCTTACTCCCAGTTCCTTTTCTTATTGTTCAAAATTTACCCACAGGCATGAGCTCCCCCACACTCCTAGATTGCATTATCTGCCCCTTGGGCAGCTGTCTGGGAAGCCAGATCCCACGCTTTGAGGTGTAGTGTTTCATACAATCCAAAAATGATAGAAGGAACCAGAAATTCCATGTATGCAGCTCATTGGCCTGGCTGTACAGCAGCAGCCAAGGGTGAAAACTAAATACTCCCAGGCAAGTCCTAAGTTCACCTGGTAATTGGAGTGGCCATTTGTGCTAGTTAATTGCCCTTATCTGAAGGAAAAAAATAAAACTCATATCTCTATGACAAGCAGGTACTTACAGCTGGGAGCAAGACACCTAGGCTAAACTCCTCTAGAGACAGGGAGACAGGGCACTGTCTTCCTTAATGTTCACATTTCAGAGATGGTTCCAATTTATAGACTGGCAAGAGACTTACAGAGCGAAGGAAGGATTTACAGATACAAGTTGCTGGATGCATGCTAAAACCGCAATGAGATATCACTACACACTTATTAAAA